GGCTCCTCTCTGGAACAGGTCTCAGCTGTGAGGCTGAAGGTGTTCTTCAGCGAGGAACTGGTTGGACCAACCAGAACCAGAACCTTCAGTTGTAAAACAGCTCTGTGGGTCTAAACTGAAAACCCATCACTGTTGTCCTCTCTTAATCAATCAATCAAAGCTTTATTTATAAATATTACAACAAAGGTAAAACATTAAAGTAGAAGACAGACGGGTAAAACAAGGGATTTAGTGAACCAATGAAAACTGAGAGATAAAGTCAACATAAAAGATGGCCGATTCAAACATGTTCTGGGAACGCCAAGCGGAGGAGGTGTGTTTTTAGGTGATTCTTAAAGACTGGCAGAGAAGGGGACAGCCTGACTGAGGGTGGCAACTGGTTCCAGAGAGACGGTGCTAGGACTGAGAAAGCCCGGTCCCCGCGGGTACGACACCTAGACCGAGGCACAGCGAGCAGGCCTTGGTCAGAGGAGCGCAGAGCGCGTGATGGGGAGTGTCTGTTCAGGAGGGTGGCCAGATAGGGCGGAGCACCACCCTGGAAGAAATGATAAACAAAGACGAGGAGTCTGAAGTGTGAACGATAGCAAACCGGAAGCCAGTGCAGGGAGGCCAGAACCGGACTGTGTCCTCTCTTATATGGTAACCATGGCAGCAGTCATGGGCGGGGCTTATCAGGCTAAGCTAATGCTATTCTCCGCCTTGTTTCTCTGTTCAGAACAACTTTCATTTGTTTAGCTTGAGCAAGATGTTTCTGCAGGTGAAGAGATGATGAGATGTTTGGACCCTGTTAGCCCCCAACCTGTGTCTAGGTCCGCCCCTGCTGCTGACGGGTCCAACTTTATTTATTTATTTATTTATTTATTTGTTTATTTATTTATTTATTTATTTATTTATTTATGTTGTTTTTGTTCAACAATCATCAGCTGAAAATCAGCTGGTCTCACAAACAAACACGGCTCTGTCCTCCTTTGGTTCCCTTTCCTCCCAGGCCCAGTTCAGGAAGCAGGATGGGAGGAGGAGGAGGAGGAGGAGGAGGAAGAGGAAGATAAACATCACACAGGCGGTTTGGAGGAGGGGAAACTGGGAGGCGCAGCGTCCATCAGCAGCTCCACCGAACCAGAACCAGCATTAAAGGTAAGACCGAGCCGGAACACGCGCGTTTCTCCTCATGGTTCTGTTAGAGGAGCAGCCGGAGGAGACGAGCTGAAATGGGGTGAGTGTTACGTAACACCGGGCCCGATCGCTCGGGTTTGGTTCTCATCACGTGACTGCGGCACCGAGGCGTTCTGGCGCATACCCGTCCGCCTGATCCGAACCGCGGTCCGCTTTCATCTCCCCTGCCTCCCGCATCAGCGTGCGCGTGCCCGACAAGTCTCCGCCGCTGTCCTTCAGCACTCCGTGTACGCGATTTGGTGGGTGGGGGGGGGGGGGGGGGGTTGACAGCTGCCTGGAGTCGGGATTAACCACGTGATGTTTGATGTTGATGGAAACGGAGCGCGCAGCCGCCGGAAGTAACGCTCAAACATGCTGTTCGGTGCGCGTGCGTGAAGATTTGGTTATCCCCGCTAGTCCATGCGCTAGTCACACACACACACACACACACGCACACGCACACGCACACACACATAGGACAGACAAGTCCAGTCCAGAACTCTTGACCCAGTCCAGAACCTCTGCCTCTGAGGCGTCCTGAACACACCATGATGACCCGGTTCTGGTGAAAGAAGAACCAACATCTGCCTCTCCTTTGGCTGGTTTCTGACCCAGTTTCTTTTCCGGAACCAGAACTTTTTAGATCTTTGTGTTGGTTAAGCTCCCGACCCTCCTGCGGCCCGAGACCCGGGTTCCCTCCAGTCCTTGCTTCGTGTCACGTTCTGGAACCAGAACCAGGTCTAAAAATAAAAACCATCAGAACATCTGCAGAACTTTTGGGTTTGGGTTCACTGTGTCCTTGGGCAAGGCACCCTCCTGCCCTGCCTGCTGCTGGTTCTGTCCCAGGAGAGCTGTTGCTCTGATGTAGCTCATCATCACTAGGTCAGTCGGTGTGGTTTGCAAAGCGCCTTGGGGGGTTCTAGAACTCTGCTTTATAAATGCAGGACATCACCTTACACAGGTGGACCAGCGGTTCTGGACCGTCTGATCATGTGGTGTGTCTTTGTGTCTCCAGGGAGTCCCAGTCCCGGTCAGTGATGCTTCACCATCAGGACCAGCATCTGGACCCGGGCCATGATGGTACCACAAACATCTCCTCGCTTCAGAACAAAGACAACAACTTCAACTTCCTGCCAGGAGAAGTGGGCCGAAGCTTCACGGGGAAGAGAGGAAGAGGAGATGAGAAGTGGAACCAGGGCCGTCCCCGGAACCTGACCCTGGGACGGGACACGTCCAGCTCTGCTCCCTCCGGGTTTCACTCGGGAATCTTGTCCCCCCGCTCCCGCCTGCCCTGCTGGAGCCCCCTGGAGCCTCTTCCTGAAATAGAGAGTGGCGATGACGGGTACGG